GAAAGCAAAGCCCATCTGCTCAGCTCTGGGGCTTCTGTTGGGCAGCAGGACACCTGAGCGGGCTGGGCTGTGGCTCGGTCACCCCCGGGTGCCGGGGGCAGACGTTGTGGCTGCTCCCCCAGCCTGGCCCTGCCAGGGCTCCAGGCTCTGCAGAGCAGGAGGGCTCATCCCAGCAGGTGCTGGCCGTGGCAGGAGGTGCAGGGGGGGACCAACAGATGTCCCCAGGGATAAAACCGGGCACCACGGCTGTGCTCTGCCCTGCACTGCTCTGTTCTACCTGTGGCAAATAATGCAGCAACAGGTTGTGGGGGTCCCCTCACCCCCCTGGCCTCTTCCTCCTTGAGAAGTAGCAGCAGATTAGCTTGGAGCCCCTCTGTGCAGACAAAAGCTGCCACAAAGGGCATTAGGCTTCAGGATTGGATTACCATGTGGCCACCTGTCATCCCCACTTTGTAAATTTATCTCACTCTGGGTCTGATTTTCACATTGGAGAAGTTTGCACTTAAAAAAACCCCACAAAATCCCCTGCCCAGTGCCTTTGCAAGCAACAGCCTGGCTGAGTTCATCTTAGTATTCCTTCTCATTCCAGGCTTCAGAGCTGCATGGGGCTGGAGATTAGGGCTGTTTGAATGAAGAGAGCCTTTATTACATTAGTTTAAGTGGTTAATAGGTAAAGTAGGCCAATCCATCTTTAGACTAAGCCTATCACTTCGCCTACGAAGGGTGCAGGCTTCACCGAGGAAATGTTCATTAAAGGAAAAGCTTTTCCTCTGTCCCTCTTGACATGTTAATAGCTCAGGGTTAGGGGCTTGCTCTTTGCCTGTGCAAAATTCATAGCTGTGCAAAATTCATAGCTGTGCTCACACAGCAACCTCCTCCCCTTGCTGGGACCCTGCTGCTGGCAGCTCTGCCCTAGTCAGCAGTGCAGAGCCCCTCCTGTGCTTTCTGGCTGGGCTGGGTGGGCAGTAAAGGATGCTGGGAGTCTGCTGGTGCTCCTCATCCTCATTTCCTTCTTCCATGCTCAATAAGCAGGTGCCTCGTCCCTTCCCAAGCAGGGAAGTGGGGCTGGAGTTCAAATGACAGGTAGAGGTAGTGCCTTGGTGCTGGGACTCTCTGCTGTGGGATGTTCTCAAGGCCAGAAGTATTTGTGGGTTTGAAGGATTAAACAGTTCACAGTTGCTATGAAATAGGATGATTTGGATGCAGATGCTGTCTCCAGAGGTCTTTGAACTCCAGGTTGCCAGAAGGCAGCAGGATAACAAGGCAGGAGGGATGGCTTGCCAAGGTTTTCATACTGTATTTTCTACTACAGTTTCTGCTATGGCCCTCAGTGGTGCCTCTATCCAGCCCTGGGGCTCAGCTGAGCTCTCTGTTTCCCACAGCCTGGTTCCCTCTGCCATCCCCCTTTGCTCTCCTGTATGGACAGCAGTGGTGGCTGCACCTCTGCCTTTCTCACCCTGTCTCAGGCAGTGCTGGCAGGGGCTGCCCGTGTCTCCGTGGTGCCTGAGAATCCTCCATGGAAACAGAGGCTCCACAAGCTGCCTGGGGAGATCTGGATCCTCCTGAGCTGATTCTGCTGGACCCCACTCCTTTCTCCTGAGGGGCTGCATCCCGCCTGGGCATGGTGGCTTCTCTCCATCACAGCTCCTCTTTTCCCTCCCAAAGCAGCAGCTGTAGTTTAGCTTGGCCCTGGCTCTCTTGGAGCCACAAGAGCAGATATGTTCAGGTCTGGATCTGGTCCTCCTTCCACCAAAACATATGTCCAGTGTGTTGTGCTGGAGCTGCAGTGCTCTGCTGGGCCAAGTTGCCCTTCTCCAGCTGTGGCTTGAATGGGAATAAATTCCTCTGGGTGATTCTTCCTCTGCTATGAGTTCAGACCAGCCAAAGTAGCAGTTCCTTCTGTCCCTGAGGCTCTGCTGTCTCTGGCTGCCAGCATGATGGATGGTGCCTCTGTGGGAGATTATGGAAACCATGGGAAAGCTCCTCACAACTGACATGCCCATGCAGTAAAACTTTGCTTTCCTGGATGTGCTGTTGTCAGAGGTTCAAACCACCTCTATGGGCCACAATACTTGGCTTCACTTGCAGCTGTCTTTCTTTCATGAAGCCACTTTACAAACAAAGCAGAGTCTGAGACAATCTTGAGGGTCTCAGTTTTGGGCTATGCCTGGCACCTATGTGGTACAATGGAGGGAGAGCAGGAGCAAGGGCCCCAGAGCTGGTTTTGGTGGATCCAGGCCTTGTACATGAGGTGAAGGTTCTGTTTCTACCTCTGCTCACCTCAGCCTGTGTTGGCCAACCTGAAGGCAGGAGGTGTGTCAATGTGGCTTGTTCTGCTTTTCTTGCTGTGATGGGTCACCAGCAAAATGTTCTTAAATTGCCAAGAATTCAGGCCCTCTCCAAAAATAACAATCTGGGAGGTTTAGGCTTGCCCAGAACTGACTACTTTCAGCCACAACTGCAGTGTGGGTCCAGGAGATGAGCTGCTCTGCAAAGGGGCTGATGCCAGGCCAGTGGATGCCTCTTAGGCAAAGAGTTACTCCCTGCTTTCTTCCACTTATGGTGAGCTCCTCTGTATTTGCTGAAATGCTAATTAAGAACCTGTGTTTCCCAACTGAATCAACTGACTTGGCACTCCATCCCCAGCAATTTCCTCCTGTTTCACAGCCCAGCCCTGCCCAATGCCTTTCTTGTGCAAGGAGGGGAAAAATAAACCTTGCATCATTCCCATGAGACTGATAAATACTGGCTGTAGTAGTCCTGGAGGAGAAATCAGTCCCAAAATGCAGGGCCCTATACAATCAGCAATCCAATGAACCTGACCTAAAGCTGAAGGGCTTCAGTGGAACACAGGCAACCTGAGAATGTTTCGGGAAGCTTTCTCCTCTCTAGGCAGCTCCCAGGCCATTAAGGACTTCATGGGTGGAAAACATCCTCTTAAATCAAGCTGAAAAGCAGTTGGTGGCCAGTGCAGGATGTAGAACTTGGGTTTAATGTGGCCATAAAAGGAGACACCACTTAATGAGCAAATGTTGAAATCTACATCAGCCCACGACAAATTTAAGAGTTGCTCTGAGCGTTATTGACTGGCCCTGTTCTGTGACAGCATTATGGGGTTGCAAAGTTGGCCAGAAAAGCAGAGGATTAGTCAGAGTTTTATTCTGGTTGCTGGTTTTGGCACACACACACTAGCTCCTGCCTTCCAGAAGCTCTCACATTCCAGGTATCTGGTAGACCAGCGTGATTTTTATCTGCATGTGAAACTCCACTTGTGTGGACTTGAAATCCCAGCCTTCAGGGTTGCCACCACCTCTGGCCATGCCTGGAGGTTCCACAAGCTGATATCCTTTTCCTGCACAGTCCAGCTTGCCCATTGCCCCTTCTGAGTGCCATGCAGATCTGGCACAGGGACTGTCTCCCACCTTGGCACTGTGGAGAAGGAGCTCTATGGGCAGCCTTGAGGCACAGCTCACAGGGAGGATGGAAGTGCAGCCACTGGGTGCCCCTTGCCAGGAAACACATTGCACAAAGGTGATGCCAGAGGCTGGTGAAGTAAAACACCAGGTACAGTGTGAGCTCACCAATAGTTGCATAAACAGCTACTGACCAAATTTCGTAGACATGGGATGATTTTCGATGCAAACAGACCTCTCATTCCTGGATCCCCTGTTATTTGCTCTCAGAACAGATTGGTCAGTTTTCTTCCCTTGAGTTCTTAATCAGGGCAACCATTGGCTTTAGCACAAATTATCAGGGGCTGTTTTAACTGCAAGAGCCCTAGTGATCTTTGCTGTGGAAGCATAAAAGCAGCTAGGGAGGAGATGGCTGTTGGGAACAGCCTCTGTGTGGTGTCCTGTGGCTGAGGAAAGCACAGCTTCAGGCTTGCAGATCACACCCTGGCTGCTTATTTCTCTGTGCTGGCTGGATGCTTTGAAAACTTAATCAAGTTTTATAACTTTAATTTCATGCTTGACTCCCCTTTTCCCTTTTCTTTTCAACTGTCTCGCAACCCGGAGCAAATGAGTCTGTTTGGGCTACAAAGGGAAAGAACTGGCAAACAGTCTAAAATATTTTAGCTTGACTAGTGAATAATAGGGAAAAATTACTCTTCCTGGTTCATGCCACTTCCATCAATTCTGTAAGCTCCCTACTCTTTCCCCATGTGGTTCACTAGAAATAGCCAGGGAATAAGGTGGAACTGCTGGAAGTTTTAAAAGTACTTTGTGAGGGTATGTCCTGCCCATGTGCTGAGGTTGTGTTCTCCAGATGTATCCCACATCCTGGCCTGCTGTAACCTGTGGGGAAGTGCTGGGCTGTCCTCCTTGTCTCCTGGACTGGGATGTGCTGAAGATGCCATGGGCAGCTCTTGATGCCCTTTCTGGTTCATGTGAGGAAACAAGTGATAAGGAATAGTAAAGCAGGGGGTGAAACTGGATGCAAGAGGACACCTGTGAGTGAAGTCCTGCTGTTGGCATGCCAGGGAAAAATTGCACCCTCTTGCCTGAATTGGGAAGTTTTGCATTTGGAATGCTGAGGGAAGGTGAGGTGGACATACTCTAGAGATCTCCTGCTTTTCTGCTGTACCATCCTGTCATTCCCATGGGGAAATGAGCTCTGGACTGGGGCTCAGGTCTCAGTGGTGTCGTCATGAGCCAGAACAGCCACCTGGTGCAGCTCAGGACCCATCCTGACCAGTCCAAAGCTGGTGTGGTACATTCAGCCGTGGTCCAAACGCAGAGTGTAGCTCAGCTAATCCACTCATGAATAACTGGGGGATTACTCAACTGGATTTCTAATACAGTGGCCTTTAATAACAATCTCCCCCTAATCCCTGAATCAATGGGAAATGGATTTGTCTGTATGGTCCAAATGGCCTGTGAAGGCATTTTAGGGAGAAGAATTCTTGTGTGTCCATGTGTGAACATACGTGTGGAAGCATATGGATATTTTTGTTCCTCTTCCTTGCCCTTTTGACCCATATCTGTGTGTTTTGCTGGCAGGGACCTGATGCCCAGGACCCTGGAGGGGCAGATCACCATGGAGAAGACCCCCAGCTACTTCGTCACCAAGGAGGCCCCGGCCCGCATCTCCTCCATGTCCAAGGGCACCAAGCTGATCGTGGTGGTGCGCGACCCCGTGACCAGAGCCATCTCGGACTACACCCAGACGCTCTCCAAGAAGCCTGACATCCCCACCTTTGAGAGCCTGACCTTCAAAAACAGGACTACGGGCCTGATCGACACCTCGTGGAGCGCCATCCAGATCGGCATCTACGCCAAGCACCTGGAGAACTGGCTGCTGCACTTCCCCATCGGGCAGATCCTCTTTGTCAGCGGGGAGAGGCTGATCAGCGACCCCGCGGGGGAGCTGGGCCGCGTCCAGGACTTTCTGGGCCTCAAGAGGATCATCACGGACAAACACTTCTACTTCAACAAAACCAAGGGCTTCCCGTGCCTGAAGAAGGCCGAGGGCAGCAGCAAACCCCACTGCCTGGGCAAGACAAAAGGCAGGACCCACCCTGACATCGACCAGGAGGTGGTGCAGAGGCTGAGGGACTTCTACCGGCCCTTCAACATGAAGTTCTACCAGATGACAGGGCAGGACTTCGGCTGGGACTGAGCCTGGCATGGCAAAGTCCCCTGTTATTACTTGCCCAGCACGGTTTGCTTATATAAAGAGATATATATGTATGTAAAATGTACAGAAATCTATTTTATAATAATTTATTTTTAATTCCTAAGCAATTAATTCACTAAGCTGCCTAACCGCACTGGCTAGAACGGTAGCCTGTAACCTGTTTAACATTCCACAGTGTTTTATTCTAATGTCTCTCCTTTCCTTGGGTTTTTGCCCTTCTTCTTTCTCTTTGGTTTGGTTTGTAACAGACAGTGCTTCCACTTTTCCTAAAGAAAATTTGTATTTAAAAATCAAAAGAAGGGAGGGAGGGAAAGCACAAGTTTATTTTTGTTACGGGTATCTGGCCTTTATAAACACTTGCTTTCCCTATTCCAGTGTCCCAGTCTCTGCTCCGCTGTTGTGCTCCCTCATCCCACAGTTTTCTGGTTAGTCCCATGGCCCTGGGGGGTGTTTCTCTGGGGTGGCTGGGAGGAAGGCTGGGCATCCCTGCACCCCACATACCTCTGCTGAGCAGCAGCATGTTTTCCCAGTGCTGTGAGCCTGGGAACCCCAAGCCAAGGGCTCCTGCTCAGGGTTGCCAGGAGGGCAATGTGCTCTTCTTCCAGGAGAGAACCTGCAGAGCTTGTTGCATGGGCAGAGCTCTCCTCAGTACAGTTTTCCTTCCTGCTTTTTGTCCAGGAGGTTCTTGCCCACAGTCCCTCTATGCATTTAAAATCTTTACTGCAAGACAAACGTAAAATGCTGTATCTGTGTGTGACGTGTGGTGCTGGTCAGAGTGCAGAAAGTGTTGCTCCAGAGCACCCATGGCACTGCTGGGAGGTGGCAGTGCCTGCAGCACATGGAGCACACTTCACTCACCAAAGACACCAGCAGAGCCTCTGGGAAAAGCTCAGGTGTCTGCCTGGCATCATGCCCAGCATGGAGAATGTCCCAGGACATGGCACAGGCACTGGTACCTCCAGCCCCACGGCCACCACAGCACCTCCCAGTACATGAGACTGGGGAACATCACCCTGAGCCGCTTAATTCCCATCAGTTTTTGGTCCAGCACCCTATCTGTGGTCTCTCCCAAGGAGCATAATTTGCTTAGAGCCAGGGAGAAATGCTGCTTTACCAACAAGGGTGAATGTGTAGGAAGGCTGGGGGGAATCTGGGCACGCTTGGTTGGGGTATTCCTGGCAGTCCCTGGGTGCCCTGGCTGAGCACAGGGGTAGCAGCCAGGCAGGACAGGAGGCTCCAAACATGTAACCATTAACCTGAATGAAATCCTTCTCCTCAGGTGTAAGCACGTGCTGTGGGACTCCAGGACAGGTTAGGTGGGCTGTCCTGAGAGCTCTGCCAGTGTTTTGTGGGCTCAGGAGGTCCTGATGAGCACTGTGTGTGTCTGCTGCCTTGTCATTGCTGCCAGAGGTTCTGCCAGCTTGACTGGAACACCTTCAGAGCAAGGTGGCAGCAGGAGTGATTTTCTCCTTGAATGTTTACCAGAAAGAGAGCTCTGATGTCTTTGGGCAGCAGAACTGCCCACACCTCATCTGCAGCCCTGAAATGATGCACTGCACTGAGCATCTCCTGGAGCTGCTGTGGGAGCACTTCCAGAGGCAGTGTGAGTGAAACTGGAAACAACAAAAGCACCAGTGGGCAGAACATCTAATTTCATCTGCATTGCCTATAGCAATCCATGCCCTGCACCTCTCCATAGTTACCCATAGCTCCCTCTTGGAGCTGCCCATTGCAGCTGTGCCCAGCTGTGGCAGGGCCCATTCAGCGGTGTTTTCCACATGTTTGTTTTACTTTTACAGCCTCCTTACTCTTGTCTGCCCCTTCCATCTCTCTGCTGTGGCTGTTGGGTGATGAAAATGTTCCTCAGAGCCTGGGCTGCTCTGTCTGGGTCTCGAACTAGTCCTGCTCCAGCAGACAGAGCAAAGAGCAGACTTGGCTCTGGGGCTGCTACAGGTGCCAGGGAGCTGCCCTTCAGAGCTCTGCTTAAACCTGAGGGCTTTTGGCCTGCTCAGCAGTGTCACACCTCCAAAGGGATTTAGGGACTTGAACCACCACGTGTGGGTTCACACTTGGGGTGCAGTGCATGTGGGTGGCCTCAAGGAAAGGGAGATTTTAAGCATAAAAGCTCATCAGGCTGAGCTGCCTACAAAGCTGGTGTGAGCAGGATCCAAATCCTTCCTTGGGGTTTGCCCCCAAACACATTTTCCCACAAACAGGGAAGTTCTCCTTCTTGCTCTGAGCCATTTTTAGTGAAGAAACGACACTTTGGGCCAATGCAGTCTGACTTCAGAGGGTTCAGGTGGGATGTGGGACCTGCTGGGCTCTGCAGGCTGACAGACCCTGCAAAATCCAGCTGCAGGCCTGAGCAGCTGGGTGGATCTATGCACTTTTGAGGGGTTTGGCTTCAACTCCAGCCAGGTCCCAGGCTCTGTTTCCTGCTGCCAGGACAGGTGATGAGTGCAGGAGTGTGTCTGCTTTATCCCAGACCCTGCCACTCTTGGGTGACTGAGGGGAAGGAGCTGCAGGCACTAAGAAAATACTTCCTGGTGGAAAACCAAGTGATTTTTGCTTCTCAAAACCTCCGTCTTCCTTCTAGCAGCTTATGCAATGCATGGAAAGAAGCTTGACCTCTCCACTTGGCCCTTGGGCGAGCTCCCAGCCGTGGCTGTGCCACCTCCCAGTGTTTCCCTGGTGGAGCCTCCAGGAGCTCTGGTGGCATGGGCTCCTTCCAGGTGCTTCCCTGCAGAGTCTGTGCTGGCTCCTCAGTGCCCCGAGGGTTTTACATCCCCCACGTCTTCCTCAGCTGCACAGCAGAGTGTGGGCTTCATTTGTACAATCTTGTAGGAGAGTGGAAATACAGAGAGTGAGGAATAACTCTTCTAACTGTAAACAAATTGTCTCAGTATCCTTCATAATGAAGTCTCCACTAGACTTTTAATGTAAAAAAGCCTTACTTAACAAATATGACAATGAAGGTAAATTCTCTGTGGTGTTCATCTGGTTGCTAACATTGGACTCAGTGCATTTCTTTTTAAATACCCCTCTTATTTTTCTTTTAAATTAAGCTTGGAGGTGTGATTAGAAGTTTGGTTGGTTGATTTTTTTTTCCACATTGTAACATTAATTTATGGCTGAGTTTAATTCAGTCCTGTATTCAGAAGTGCAGTATAGCTATTAGCTATTAGTGATGTGTTGTCTGTTACAAGGTTCTATAGTGTAGTAGCTAATTTTTAAAAAAAAAAAAAAAAAAAAAAAAGAAAGGAAAACAAACAAAAAAAGCCACAAAAAAGAAAATCTAAAAAAAAGTATATGGAGTATTTTGTGGTATGTACAACACAAATTAATTTTACACAGAGAAAGATGTTTCTAGGAAAATGAAATTCTGATAATTCATACTATTTGTATGAAGAAATAAAAACTCTATTTTCCGAAACAAGAGGCACGGCTGTGTTATTGGGGAGGGCTGGAGGTGCTGTCCATGCAGGAGTGTCCGTGGAGCTCTCTGGAGCCAGAGGCTGTCCCAGGGCACACGGAGGTGCCAGATGCTCAGGTGTGCTCTGGGGCTGCTGGGCACAGCTCAGGGATGCTCTGGGGCTGCCCTGCCCTGCTGGGCACAGCTCAGGGATGCTCTGGAGCTGCTGGACACAGCTCAGGTGTGCTCTGGGGCTGTCCTGCCCTGCTGAGCACAGCTCAGGGATGCTCTGGGGCTGCTGGACACAGCTTAGGGATGCTCTGGGGCTGTCCTGCCCTGCTGGGCACAGCTCAGGGATGCTCTGGGGCTGCTGGGCACAGCTCAGGGATGCTCTGGGGCTGTCCTGCCCCGCTGGGCACAGCTCAGGGATGCTCTGAGGCTACTGGGCACGGCTCAGGGATGCTCTGGGGCTGCTGGGCACAGCTCAGGGATGCTCTGGGGCTGTCCTGCCCCGCTGGGCACAGCTCAGGGATGCTCTGAGGCTACTGGGCACGGCTCAGGGATGCTCTGGGGCTGCTGGGCACAGCTCAGGGATGCTCTGGGGCTGTCCTGCCCTGCTGGACACAGCTCAGGTGTGCTCTGGGGCTGTCCTGCCCTGCTGAGCACAGCTCAGGGATGCTCTGGGGCTGTCCTGCCCTGCTGGGCACGGCTGCACCCAGCCTGGGGAATGATCTGAGGGACTGCCCTTGGCCCTGCTGCATACACTGGGTGGGCTCAGGGATGCTCCAGGACCAACTCAGCCCTTCACTGCTGCAGTGGAGAACCTCTCTAGTGCCAAGTCACTTTTCCAAAGCTTTTCTCTTACTGAAGTGATGCTGATCCAGCCTCTGGGGCCAGTGATTGCTGCTGCTCCCTACACACTCAGCATTTTTCGGCATAAAACTTAATTACCATGAAATTCAGAAGAGTCCCAGGCCAGTGCTCTACAATGCAGCACCTGAAGAATTAGATTTATATAATGTACCTTTTGCCACTAAAAATGAATTTAAATAATTTCATTTTTCTTTGCAAGTCCTGCATCTGGTGCAGAATAATTGATGATTCTCTTTCAGATTGTCCATTTTTCAGAGACCTTCTAGAGAAGGAGAACAGAGCACAAGATTTAATTTTGCCATTTAGGAAGAATTTAACCTGGAAACCTCCAGCTGGTCAGGGCTGTAATTAGGTGTTCCCAAACTCTAGCAATGCTTAAACTCTATAGGTGTCTCATTTTTAAAATATGCAGATTTTGCTTTAACATTCCCGTGTAACTTTCAGGCAGCACAGCTGGATGACCTCAGCTTGATGGAGTTGAGCTGTTCCTTACCTCATTGTCACCTCCCCTTGACTTGGTTCCAAACCAGGTGTGAATGCCCCAGCAGATGTCAGTCCTGGAGGCAGCCTGGATCTGAGTTCACCCTGATTTTACAGCAGCCCATGGACCCCTGTCCCTCATTTCTGTATTCTATGTGAGTTCTGGGTTGGAAAGCATGAGAGTGCTTTTCCTCCACAGGTGGGTTGGTGCTGCAGAGGAAAGGGAAGGGGATTCCTGGAGCCCTTGTGGGGTTCAGCATCTGCCCTGTCCTCTATATCCCTGAAATCTATTCCCAGTTGTACCTGGGCTCGTGGATATTGTGGATTCATTCCCCAGTTTGGTTTGGGGACCATTCCCAGGTGCTGCTTTGGCAAGAGCATCCAGAAGAGAAGAATAAGGATGTCTGTGGTTCATGGGGGTCAGGTACAGAGAAGGGTTTGCCCTTCGGAAGATGGGCTGAAGGGTCTTCTTGTAAATCTGGAACCTCAGCTGAAGGAGGAAGCTCCTGAAGGCAAATGGATTGAAGAAGGTGATGAATAGTCTCTCCTACTGGTGTAACGCTGCTGCTAAGCACGGTGGTAGCCAAGCTGGAGTTACTTTTTC